CTAGGAGACCCATGTCTCCTCCATCTGAAAGGCTCTAGCTCTGCAGAGCTCTGGAGTTGGGCTGATTTCAGCTCCTATCTAGGCTCTGCCGCTGCGGTGGATTTGGTGGTCATCTAGTAACACTCACCTCCACCTCTACCTCAATTCCATGGGAGGAGTAAATTTACTCTCTCTCTCCATGACTTGGCCATGGGACTTGCTTTGGCTAATGTGTTTGTAGACAAGATGCTTGGGAACTTGAAATGCACTTGTGCTGCTGGGCTTGCTGTCTTGTGTGTCCCTGCCATTTCCATGACAAGAACATGCCCAGGTGGGCCTACTGGTCCCAAGAGAGGATGGCAGGCATGTGGAACAAAGCTAAACTACTCAGCAGAACCCATCCTAGATTACCCAGCCTACAGATTCCTGAGCTAAATAAATGTTTACTGTCATTTTCTGGGAGAGTTTGGGCATGCTTGTTATGAGCACTACTGTGGCCATTGTGAGCTGATACAGTCTCTCACCAGCTGTGTGACTTGGGAAGCCTGGCTTCCTCCATGGAGACCCACAGGAGGAAAGCAAGATTTGGTAGAGCTCATAGAAAGCCTGGGGTGAGCCCAAGGAAAGTTCTGGGAATTTCTTCTAGTTAAATATCCTGTCCTGCACTCGCTGGAGGTAAGGTATCTCTAGGGGGAGTATTCTAACTTCTAGCGGATGAAAGAAGCCACAGCGCATGATAGAAAAGACCCAGGTGGGTGGGGCTGTAGGGAGCCAGGCCCTCCACCTCCGAGGGTTGTTGGTGGGAGCTTGGATGATCTGTGCCTCTCTGAAGGGCTACTGGGCAACGTGTATACTCCATTTCCAGAATTACACCTGTCGGTATGCTAAACACATTCATACACCACCACCACCACCACCACCACCACCAAAACCCACTTGCATATGTGCACAAGGAAATATTGTCAGACGATCAACATAGTATTGTTTACACAGCTACAAATTAAAATGACTCAAATATTCCCGGCTAGGGGGACACCATGGCACACTCTCTGATGGTTAACAATAATGGAGGAGCCCTTTATGGGTTAATGTGGTTGAACCTTGAAGACGCATTGCTGAATTCAGTTCGTAAAGTAGAGCATAACGTTTGTGTTGAGAGGCAAACAAAACGGAACCTAACACCGCGCAGCCAACTGGGTAGCAGTGGTTTCTCAAGGAGAAGTGCTAGGGGAAAGCACGGGGAGTGGCCGTCAAAGGGACTCTGGCTTTCTCTGTAGTGTTACAATTTTGAAGACAAGCGGGTCTGAATTGGAACCTCAGCTGTGTCACATACTTAGGTTTTTAACTCTGGGCACTTTGTGTTCCTCTTCAGGCCCCAGTTGGTGGGGATGTGAGCCTCTACCTGCCAGGGCTGACTGGTGGAAGAAATGAGCTGGTGTCTGTGGAGGGGCTGACATCATGTTTGGGCACAGGAAGGGGCTCATAAATGCCAGTTGAAAGCATGGATTCCCTCAATCCGGGCTACTGAGCACTCCCTCCCAGCCGCCACACTTCTGAGTTTCAGCGCAGCCCCAGCATGCCCCAGGAATGCATCCCTTCAGAAGGTCATGGCTGCCGTGGCCACGTCCTCCCACACTCCACACCCCGCTCCTTGGCCACCCCAGCATTGGCCCCCGTGTCCCATTCTTTGCATGATTCCCTGGTAATTTTGGTACAGGCCAGTCTCTCTGGAGGGTGGGGAGGGTCCATTCCTTTGGGTTCCCAGCATGGAGCCCACAGTCTGCAGTAGATCCTAATAAAATGCTACAGTCCACCCTTCCCAGCAGTGGGGCTGCTCCCTCAACTGGAGAATGAAGGATTGTTCCATAACAGACCTCCTCATTCCTGAATTTTCCAAACTGGAGTCTGAATGATCTTTCCATAATGCAGACCTCATCATTTTAGCCCCTCCTGATGAAGACCCTTCCAAGCCATCCCATTACCCATGTTCCCAATGCAGCGGCCTCGGGAACCTGCTCTCGCTCCCTGAGGTAAGCCCTTCTAGACTCCCTGGTCTTCTTTCCCTCCCCGCCCTTCCCCTGTTTGCCTAGTTAGCAATAATGGTTTTGCTTCTCTTCGGCTTCCTCTTGGTGGAATCTACACCTGTTGGAATAGGATTCCGGAAAAATTCCCAGGCTTCCAGCCCTGGCTGGCTGCCTATATAGTGCCCCACTATTCATCGCCCCCACTGCTGTAGTTCACGGGACACTTCCCTGTCATTTCGTTCCAACCACATAGAACTGCTTAATACCAACTATTGACTCCATCTGCTACTCTCATCTTTCCCAAGTCTCCCTTAACACAGCTTTGTCTTTTCTGCCCTGAAAAAACCCATATTAAAATCCCCTTTGAGGGGTGCCTGGGTGGCTCAGTCGGTTGGGTGTCTGCCTTAGGCTCAGGTCATAATCCCGGTATTCTGGGATCAAGTCCCACATCGGGTTCCCTGCTCAGCGGGGAGCCTGCTTCTCTCTCTGCCTTTCACCCCGCTCATGCTCTCTCTCTCCCTCTCTGAAATAAATAAATAAAAATTTAAAAAAAATCCACTTTGAGCCAGTCAGTTCCCGTAAGCTTTGACTGAGATGACTCATAATCTCTTCTCTGCCTCCTGTGGACATTCATCCAGGTGTGCCTTTTTGCATTCGCTGCAAGGCCCAAAGTTCAGGATTCCACAGCCTCCTCTGGCCTCCTCCCTTCCCTCCCAGGGGACACAGTCACTGCTGATCTCGACTCTGGTCAGCTCCCTCCATCTTCCAAACCCTTTCGTTGGTGCCTTTGGTATTCCTTCCTGGCCTCAAATCCATGAACCTCTTCTTGATCTGGTGGCCTCTTACTTGCTCCTCAACCACCTAGCTTACTGCAGACTTCCTCGACTGACAAGTTTTCCATTTTGAAGATGTCTTTTTCTCTTCCTTAATGCAGGCAATTCTGGGCACATGGATTTCTGCAAACTCTTGCCAAGCACCCACCATGTACGTGGCTCACCGGGTAAGCAGGACAAAGGCCTGATCCTTCTGACCAGCCCGTCCTTCATCACCAGTGTGGTGTTTCTATAGTCCCCTGAGAACTCCTTGACTTTTTAAGGCAACTGCCAAGTTGGCCTTTACCCCGGTATTTTACCATAACTCCTTTTCTAAATCAAGACACACCGTATGATCAAGTTTGGGGAGTAGTCCTCACCAGGAAGTTAAAAAATAAAACCGCGAGGCAGCATCTGTTTCGATAGCTTTATTGGAACATGATGGTAACACAGAACATGGATTTGGGGGCCCACCGCAGATGCTCCCCTCATCTAGACAGCATGTGCCCCACTTCTGCAGCCAGCAGAGGCTCCAGGGAGACTCCAGAAGGGTGGGGGCAGCTCAGACACAGACCCAAAGGAGGCCCCTGCCATGGCGGGTGGTGTGTGGGCACGCTGGGTTGGAGCCCTGAACAGCTGAGACTGTGACGAGCCAGACTGGGGTCTTATGCCTCCAACTACTTGGCCATGATTTAGAGACCCACCTGCCTCAGACTCCCGGGAAAACCACTTAGGAGGGGATTCTGGGGCTTCCAGAGGAATCCAGCCAAGACTGAGCACCTCTGAGGGTCACTGGGGGCAAACCATGCCTTCAGGTGTTTTGGTAGATAAACTGCTTAAAGCCCTTACTAGGTGCCAAACACCCTTCTAGGGACTAGACATACAAAGGTCGACAGAAATAGGCAGGGTCCATGACCTCCTGAGTAGGGCAGACAGACAAGGGTGAGGGAGCCACACGGATGACTGTAAATTACAAACATGCGGTGGGTTCTGAGGACAGTTGTGGTGTGTGTGTGTGTGGGAGGCCTGACCTAATGGGGTGGGTCAAGGAACACTTCCTCAAGAAGTGATATTTCAGCTGAGCTCTCATGGCCAGATGGTGGGAAGAGCATTCCACGCCATGGAAACAGCTTTTTGTGTGGCCCTGTGGCGGCTAGGAGCAGGAGGATAAACAAATAGAAAGCAGAGGCCAGGAGGGTTGGGGTGAAGAGACAGAGGGGGACGTGGCAGGAGGAGGCTGCAGGGCTCTGTCAGGCCTGAGCACGCAGGGCTGGGGGCCCAGGAGAAAGATGGTTGCCTGCGTGTGCCGTGTCACCACATCCGAGTTTCGCATAGCCAGCTGTGGCTGCTGGGTAGGGGGCGGGCTGGTCGGAGGCCAGAGGGGACCGTGGAGAGCTGTCAGGCAGCTGTCTCATTTGTCCTGACCAAAAGATGGCAGTGGGGCTGAGTGCGGGCAGAATCAAGCAGATGGTGGGTACCTGTGTAGCTGGGGCCTGGGACAACTGACCACGAGGAGCTAAGGCTGACCTGGGGGACCTGGCAGAGGAACAGGTGCAGGAAAACGGTCAGGAGTGTGGCTGCAGATGTGCTAAAAGTGAGGTGTCTTCGAAACACCCAGGTAGAGGGGTCGGGTGGAAAACTCCCAAAGGAAGCCCGGGCTCCAGGCACAAACCTGGGAGTCATTCCCTCACAGATAAGTCTCCTGGTGACTTCGGTTACGAGGGTGCAGACAAGGCCACAGAGGCAGAGGAATCGCAGTGAGAAGAGAAGGCTCATGGGACAGGCACACCTGACAGCCAGGGAGAGGACAGTGAGCTACCAGATGGCCGAGAAGGCCTGGGTGCGCACGGAGGGGGACGCCACCGGCGGCTCTTGGAACCAAGGGAGGAGCGGGCTCAGGGAGGGACCGGGGTTAGCAGGGAGAGTCCATGCACACCCTCTTTTCTCGGGGTGTCACCACCCCCACCTCCTTGGGTCTCTTCAACAACCTTGTAAATAGCAAAGGGGATCTTACCCCCTTGGATGGAGGAGTCAAGAGCTGCTCAGAGAGATCACTACTGATGCACCCAAGGTCACACATCCAGGAGAGGATGCTGTGGGGTCGACTCCCTCCCCCCCCGCCCCCCCCCCCCCCGGGCCCCTCTCCCCCTCTCTCGGGCACCCCCCCCCCCCCCCCCCACCTGCCCCGCCGTTGGCGCTGCTCCGCACCACTTCTTGTTGATGAAAAGCACCAGAGAGGGGCAGGACTGCAGCACGGAGGCACCCCTCAGGCTCCGGAGCGGAGCCCCGCTAAGAGAAGGGTAGGCTGAGTCAAGCAAACACCTTGATCTCTCTCCTGAGCAGCAGTGCAATGTCAAGTCAAGAATGTGGGCTTGAGGCCTGGCTCTTTGCCCATGCTCCTGTTCCTTCCTTCCCTCAACAACTATTTTTCGAGTGCCTCCTAGGAGCCAGGTACGCGTGCTAGCTGAGTGCCCTGGGGCGGGCCCCAGTCTTCTTGAAGCCTCAGTTTCTACCTCTGTGAAGCAGGTTGGTGATTCTTACCACATGTTATAAGGATTACGTGAGCTCATGCAGATGAAGTACCTGGCACACGGCAGGTGCTCAGGAAAGGCTAATTTCCTTCCTGTCTTTCCCTTCCCTTCCCTCGCCTTTCCTTCCCTTCATCCTACAGAACCTGTGAGAGAGTGAGAGGCTAACTCTCTATGGCAACACCCTCTGCTGTGCTCAGAGGGCCTGCACATTCCTGCGTGTACAAATCCACACACGCACCTGTGCACACATCTGCCACGTCCAGCCATCTCTGCTCATGACTCAGGGCCAGCACCAACGTGAGCTTTGAACCCATGGGATTCAGCGGACCCAGGCCCAGGAGAGTTCTGAACGTCTGCTAGGGATGCTGAGCACAGAACAGGCTGCTCCGCACTAGACCTGAGGACCCCAGCACCCCGCTGTGTGCTCCGGGAGTCCCTAGACTCAGGCTAGGGTGCATCTTCGGTGGCTCTGGGGGCTTCTGGGTCCTTAATGGCTCCAGGAGTCAAACCTTGGTGACCAGAAGCAGTATCTTCTGTGTCCCGGGCCGGGTCTAGACAGCCTCGGAGGGCAGAGTCCTCACTGCTTCCTGGGGTGGTGTCCTCAGTGGCTCCTCGGACAGTGGCTCGCCTGGTTGCTCCTCTGAGGGGCCTCTCATGTGTCTCTGGAGGAACCTAAGCCCCCACAGACTCTTGCAGCAGCTTAGAAGTTTGCTGGAGCACACAGTGCAGGAGAGCGCTGGCTTCCTGAGGAGACACAAGCACAGTCAGGGCTGAGGTGACCACAGAGCAAGGCCAGTGGGCCCGGGGCCCACCCTCCGGCCTTCGCTTCTCCTGTGCCGGCCTAGGGAAGGGGGGGGGTCAGGGCCCTTCCTCGGCCACCAGGGCGGCCCGCATGCAGCAGGGACTTCTTCCCTCAATCCACGGAGGGGAGCATTCGGGACACCTTTCAGATCTCACGCCTGCTTCCAACATGCCGTGCGCCCCTTAACTCCTCTGAACCCCAAGTGGAGGAAAAAACAGCCACCCTTCCAATTCTTGGAAGGATTAAGCATTATAAAATAGGTACAGAAGTATCCCACACCTTGCCTGGCTCATAATAGGAGCCCAATTAATATTTGCTGCTTCTCGCTCTTAGTGAAAGGATTCCAGAACGTCGGCGGTACGCCTTGCATGGGTTGAAGGGAGGCTGGGAGAAGACACACAGATTTATTCATCCTTCCATTAAAATCAGTTGTGAGCGCGTCTGTCTCCATTAGAATGTGCGCTCCCCAAAGGCAAGGCGCTAGACCCCGGCAATTATGGCTGGTATATAGTAGTTCCTCAGTTAACGTCTGTTGAGTCCATCTGATCAAAGAATAGATCACTGAAGACTGAGTTAGCCAAAAGCTTGGTAGGAAAGTTTTTAACAAAGTATTTGGCATACATTTTTAGCAAGAAGAGGATTTCCCTCCCTTCTGGGCATACAGAGTTCCTTTGCGCTGTTGCCTGCTAAGGTGCGGATGGCAGACCTGCTTTTCTCTTGAGCTACTTTCAGTGAGTGAGAACTCCTTTATCATTTTTTATTTCAAGTCAGAGGGAAAGGCTCAGGGGGGCGCTCCTGTGTTTTCAGCACGCACCACCTGCAGATCTCCCTTTAGAACAGAGAACAGGAGGCAGGCTCAGAGCTTTAATCAGGCAATTGGGTCTGGTCAAACTTTGATGACATTGTTTGGTGTCACTGTACCTATGCTCATGGGTTCTGTTTTCCACCAGGGGTACTGTGTTTCCATTTATGGGGACAATATAAAGTTTCCTCGTGTATTTCAGTGAAAACAGCAAGTTGGTGTAGAGCTTTAAGTGCATATAATGCAGGTGGGAGAAGACTACAGGCTGGACTGGATGGGGAAGGCAATGTGCAAACGGCCGTGGTTTGGGGAGTGCCGTTCCAAGTCCCCGACCCATCCCAGCTTCCCCTTAGCCCAAAACAGAAGAAGCTGAGTACTGCATGGTGTCCCTAGAGACTCTGTCTGGGGTCTCTGCAGACCCAGGGCAGGACAAAATCTGGCTTCAGCTATGTCTAAAGCCACAAACGCTACCTACTTTCTGGCTTCCCTACCTAGGCTGGAGTGGTAGCTTTCCTCGTCAGTTTCAAGCTGGGAGCTACCCGCTGCTTGCCCTGAGACCCCCTGCAGTTCCTTGGGATGTCCGGTGAAGATCACACCTGGCCTCAGCTCCCCCCATCATCTGTTAAGGTACTCTGGCTGCCAGAGAATCAAACTCCCTGCTCCTCCTCCTTTCTACATACAGAGAGGTAAGAGCATGGAGCTTCCCTTTAGCATCTGTTAGATAGATGGGGGTTGTGGATTTGGACGCCTGACTTTGTAAGACACAGATGAGAGAAGCCCCCGACACCAAAGCTTCGCTCAGTGCATAGGTACGCTCCAGCTTAGCCACTGCTGAAGGCTGTGAGTGGCCCAAGCTCTCCCTGGAGGTTTGGCCAGCCCTGCCCTCCCCAGAACACGTGCCCTCACCTGAACCTCAAGGTTATACCCCTGGCACTTCAGAGGCCCCATTCTCCATGCTAGCAGTGTACATATTTGACCAGGCAGGCGGTATCTACCCTTGGGTTAACATTCCAGACACAGCTCTGGTCAAGCGACTTTCACTGACATCATCAAAGAAAAGCTGGCTTTGGCTAGGAAATAACCAGCTCCCTTGTAAAGAGCTTACAGGTGACTTAAAATAATATTATTATGGAAATATCACATGTTCCTTATAAAAAATTCAGGACATAGAGATTAACAAAACAAAGAAGATAAATATCTCAAATAACTCCTCTACTCAGACATATCTTTTTGTTACATATTGATTCCATCATTAAGTATTTTTAAATGAAATCCATCATACATCCAAAGAGATTATATAAAAGTCAAATATGCATGGTTTAAAGACTACTAAGGAATACTAAAATGGATACCAGTATAACCACCTCTCAGGTTAAGGGACAGAATTTACCAGTACCTGACTTGTTTTAGCAAATACTTAGGTATCCTGAAACATCATATTGTGCATATTGTGGTGTTCTGCCTGCAATTATTTATTTATTTATTTATTTATTTATTTATTTATTTATTTATCATTATTTTGGCAGAGGTGGGGGGCTGCAAATTACAGCTTTATTCTTTTTACAAAATAACAATTAATTCAGCAATATTGTCATTTTCCAAATGGGGGCTAAATCTGGATTGTCTGTCTGATACAAGGCTGTTCATGGATGACAATCATCTTGAAATGAAGCTTGATGGATAAATGTGATTTCTCTGCCCCAAATGCCTTCCTTTGGCAACCATTCAATCCCCACAGCATCATCGGGCCCCATCCCCTAGAGGATGCTTTTGGATTCACCTCTCCATGTGGCAACAGTGACTGCTTGAGAGGTGAGTTCAGAACTCAACCCAGAAGAAAGAGTCCTTCCCATGACTACTGCATCTTTCTTATGAGGCAGAGAAGCTAGGAGCACAAAGGCAGTCGATGGCTATCCAACTGAATTACTATCACTTCCAACCAAGACTTTTGTCCAGGGGCACCTGGGTGGTTTAGTTGGTTAAGCATCCGACACTTGGGTTCTGCTCAGGTCATGATCTCAGGGTCATGATTTAGGGTCTTGGGATTCTCTCTCTCATTCTCTCTCTGCCCCTCCCCCACTGCTCTCACTCTCTCTTTAAAAAGAAAAAAGAAGACTTTTGTCTAATACAACAACACAGAGTATTATTTGAGGTTGACTATTTCCAGTAATAATATAGTCAGCAAAACAACCTTCTACAACAGTTTATAACTGTAAACACAACCAACCTTCTGTACTTTATGATCATAACAACCCTCTACAACACTTTGCCCCTATAAACAAAACAACTTTTATAATATTTAATAACTGCAAACACAAGTTTAACATGCCTGGAAGGACCTGCCACCTATATGACATTTTGAGTGCATATAGAGGCTTGAAAAATACTAGCTTATTGGAGCGCCTGGGTGGCTCAGTCAGTTAAGTATCCGACTCTTGGTTTTGGCTCAGGTCATGATCTCAGGGTCCCAGGATCCAGCCCCAACCTGAGACAGGCTCCACACTCAGAGGGGAGTCTGCTTGAGGATTCTCTCTCCCTCTGCCCCTCTCCCCACTTGAGCATGCTCTCTCTGTCTCTCAAATAAATAAATAAATCTTAAAAAAAGAGAAAAATATTGGCTTATTTATCAGTTAATACAGTTTCAGATACTAAAATTTTTTTTAAAGATTTTATTTATTTATTTAATTGACACACAGAGAGAGACAGCGAGAGAGGGAACACAAGCAGGAGGAGGGTCAGAGGGAGAAGCAGGCTTCCCGCCAAGCAAGGAGCCCTATGTGGGGCTCGATCCCAGGACCCTGAGATCATGACCTGAGCTGAAGGCAGTCGCTTAACCAACTGAGCCGCCCAGGCGCCCCCAGACACTAAAATTTTGATTATTTAATGCAGTTAGTGTTTTTTGGCATACATAATCTCTCAGCATACATCTCAATCATTATCACTTAGGTAATAAGCATTAATTTATGTAATAACTATAATTTACTCTGCATTTAAAAAAAACCAGAAAAATCCAAAGAAGGATTAAAACTACAAATTGAAAGTATTTAAAATTTAGATTTTCCTTTTATATCAATAAAACCATGTTTTACGATTTTTTTCTGTAGCTACCTTTTGTTGTTGTTTTTTTAAAGATTTTATTTATTTGAGAGAGAGAGAATGAGAGATAGAGAGCACGAGAGGGAAGAGGGTCAGAGGGAGAAGCAGACTCCCCGCTGAGCAGGGAGCCCAATGTGGGACTCGATCCCGGGACTCCAGGATCATGACCTGAGCTGAAGGCAGTCGCTTAACCAAATGAGCCACCCAGGCGCCCTGTTGTTGTTGAACACTATATTTTTGAGATTGAACTTTGCTGATGCATGTACCTGTAGTTCATTTTCACTGCTATAAAGTATTCCATTATGTGAAAATACTCCGATTTATTTATCCATTCACCTGTTGATGGACATCTGAGTTGTTTTCCATTTTTTTTAATCATTTCCCTTCTCATACTTGCTTTTGAATTTACACAATAATGGCCTCATCAAATGAATAGGAGAGTTTCCCTTTTTTTCTCCCCTGATAGAGTTTGTGCAGAAATGGAATGATCTATTCCTAGAATATTTGGTAGAACTCCTTTGCAAAACCAAGTACTACTGGTGTTTCATTCATTTAATTTATTTTTATTTTTTTAATTTTTTTAAAAAATATTTTATTTGTTTATTTGACAGAGAGAGAGACGGTGAGAGAGGGAACACAAGCAGGGGGAGTGGGAGAGGGAGAAGCAGGCTTCCTGCGGAGCAGGGAGCCCGATGCGGGGCTCGATCCCAGGACCCTGAGATCATGACCTGAGCCGAAGGCAGATGCTTAATGACTGAGCCACCCAGGCGCCCCTCATTTTATTTATTTTTAATGGTTACAGGACCATTCCAGTTTTCTATTTCATTGCAAGTCAGTTTTGACAAGTTCTGTTTCACTAGAAATTTTTCCCTTTATCTGAGTTTTCCCTTGTTTGGGGCATGGAATTGATTACAGCATTTTTATTACCTTTCCTATCTCTGTAACATCTAAAATAATATCCTCTCTAAACTCTTAATATTGTTTATGATGTTTGTGATTAATTTCTCTTTGTAGTTCTTTCAATTTTATTTCATATATTTTTAA